GTGGACTTGCCATTATAAGCATAAACCATGTGGTCTCAAATCAGTTGTCATATGATGATGTTGTAGATGACTTTGCTGCAAGAAAAACCAGGAGAGTAAAGCTGTAGCAGGTTATGTGAGATTGAGGAGGTGATGGTGTAGTTTTTAAGTTACGGCAGTACCAAAAACACCACTAGAGGTCTTTGTAAGATCATCTTTTTATTTTTATTTAAATCCTTGTATTTTTTGTGCCTACTCGTTTCTTTAATATCTTATTTTGCACAGTGCCGTATTTATATTGTATTTTTAAGTTAATGTCACTTGTTTACACTTTTTATTTTGGGAGTATTAATAGGTACTTTATGTAAGCTATTTATATTGTATTTCATATGTTCAGTTCATTTTTTGTATTTGTTTCTTTAATTCTTTCTAAGTATTTTGAAGGTGCAATTGCTTTATTTAAATAAAAGAATGTCCAAGACAAACCTATTACTTTTCTTATGAGTATATACACTAGCAGTGGAATTTACTGCGATGCAATGGGGCGCCACCTGAAATCTTGCCTAGGGCGCCAAACTGGTTAGGGCCAGGCCTGTTCAGCGCTGTATGAAGCTCTGGTTTTCTGCTCGGCGCTGTCGTCTCTCCGGACAGCTGGGGCTGTGGCCCTGCTGTGCATGTACTCTCAGTTGTTTCCACGTCACCGTCCAGCTGGGTAGTGCGGGTCTTCTTGACTAATGGCACTCACTATCCGCCAATTTGTGGAGTAATGTTACCTGACTCGCACCTGCTGTGTGATGGATGTTTTGTTTGTTTATTTTGTTTGTTTGTTTGTGTTTCTTTGTTGTTGTTATTTCTGATCGTTTTGAGCCCTTTTGAAAAAAGTTAACTGATAATTATAAAGTTATCCTTGGTCTCATTCCTGTTTGAGCACACCTCTCCTCTCGTACTTCCGCACACGGTCCTCTATGTTTTTTCAGGAAGTCATCAGCTCATACAGCAAGGTGACACCAAATTGAGAACACATAACCAATGACATATCATTAGTTATATTTTTGTATGTTTTTTTTTTTAGAGAGAATGCATACAACAAACATTTACTTGACAATACTATACATAAATATATATATTCTTTGTCAATCCTATGAGCCTTGTGTGTCTTCCTCCACCTCGGGTCCTGTAGCAAAGGGCCTGGGAGTTTGAGGCTTCTATAGCAGTATCTTAGTAGCACTCTTCTGGACAGAGAGCTCTGATGTTGATCAGTGAGTCGATGTCCCATTCATTCTTGGCATACAGCTTGATGTCATTCATGTAGAGGAGGTGGCTGATGGTAGCTCCACTCTTGAACCTGTATCCATACCCACTTCAGATGATCCGTCTGAAGGGGTTCAGGCCTATGTAGAACAGCAGTGGGGATTGCTGCACTCAATGCTCACTTATGTGAATGGTCCGGAGTTCTCCACAGTCCCATTGAGTTCCTGAAGAAGGTCCTTACTGTCCTATTGACCTTGTATGGTGCCACCAGGCATTTCCATATCCATGTGTGGCATATACTGTATATATACAGTATATATATATATGTGTGTCAGTGTTGTTGTATGGCCCAAATTTGCTTCAAGCGGCTTTATAATCTGTACAACCCTCTCTCTGACCCGCAAAGCAGATAAAGAAAAACTCTACCACTAAAAAAAACATCATTCCATGTAGTATTTGTCTAACAGCCAACGTTAGATCAGACATGTCTGTAACAGCAGTAGGAGAGAGAGAACTGAACACTTCAGCTGAAGTTGATGACAGAAGTACTTGCACTGCTGCACTTGTACTTTTTGTTCCCAACATGGGAAATGTAGTTTTTTTTCTGAGCTTAAAAACAATCATTGTTTAATACTGTTAAAACCATGAGACAGTTACAGAAGCTAGTGGAAGACAGGCTACAGGGACATGACATCCACCCACACAGGTTGTTTTTATTTATGGTTCTTTTTGACTGTGTGGGGGTGTACAGACAGTGATTTATTGACAGCTTTGTCACTCTTCTGTTAATTTTGTAATGCCTGTTAAAGTGGAACTGTTTACTCTCTTATTATGTGAGAGAGTTTGGTGACATGGCTGGTGACCTTAGGCCTAATGAGTCTGATACTGAGAACACCTCTGTAGGGTCTTTAAAGTGTAGGATTTTTTTTACATTGCAAGCAAATATATTTTGAACACAACCCATCGTAATGAAAGGTAAGTATTACACTTAAAGTATGTGTTGGAGGCCTTTGCTTCAAGCTTAAGTATTTGTAAACCAATAGTTCCAGGCCTTGATGACTTTATTCATTGCAAGTACCAGCTCTTGGGAATGCATTTTGCAAAATCTCTCTCTCACACACAGAGAAGGGCTTTACTGAATCAGTTTAAGATAAGACTGTGGACAGATAGACTGTGATCAGGGTTACAACCTCTGTGATAAGTGCAGCTCATTTCCATTTGCAGTCCTGTAGCCTCACACACATTCTGCAGATAGAGACGAACTGCATAGTCACCAAACTGAAGGTCCCACATTCCCAGAATAAAGATATGACAACCTTGCCAGCAATTCAGTTCACTTCTGCTTAGCAAGTCACATTCAGATAAAGCTCTCGAAGGATAATACCAAAAAAGCATTTCTCTTAATCTTTTCGCTATGCCCTTTTCTGTCCCAGAATGCCTTGGGGATGCAGACTGACATGTCTCCATCTCAAGTTTCAATCACCAGCAAGGATTTAAGTTGGGAGTGACTTTCTCATCTCATGTGCTGTGTTTTAAATTTGCAAAACAGAGCGGAGGTGCACTGACTTCACCTGCTTTAAAAATGCCCTGATTTGATGTTTGACCTGGCGAGATGTTAGAGAAAAGTGAACCTCAGTAACGGCTGTCAGTTCAAACGTTAGAAGTTTTAAAATACCACTTGTATTTGTTCATCAGTGACACATGAACCAAAACAATATTCACTCAATTTCCTTGGCACTTTTCACTTTGGGTTTAAAATGCTGTCTGTATCAGTAAATGTTTGGCCACTACTTTAAATGCTAATTAGGTCAGATTGTGTTGTCATAAAGGAGAAAAGGATGATTTGTGACTACACAGAGCAAAAGAAAAAACCCTATTAAAGAGATAATGGAAAACGTTGAGGCAAAGGTGACACTGGGATGAAAAGATCAGTGTGTGTTGAGTCACACACACACAGCATGGCAGACAGCAGGCAGGCAGCTTTCTGCCAGCACAGCTCAGTGTCATGCCCTTGAGCCACACCTCAGTAGAGGGGCATGCAAACGTAGCAATGTCCTTGCTTTCCAGTGTCTAAATGTACTGTATATTCTCAGTAAACATAAAACAGTTTGAAATGCTGATACAGTAAATTGGAAAGTAGTTCCTAGTTCAATGTAACACAGTTCTCCCAGTCAGAAGTTCAGACACCTCTCCTCATTGTCTTTTTACTTTGATTTTTCTCTTCTACATTGTAGATTAATAGTGAAGACATCACAACTATGAAATAATATATAAACCAATCAGCCATAACATTATGTGCACTGACAAGTGAAGTGAAAACATTGTGTCGTTACAGTGGCACCTAACAATGTGTGGGGTATATTAAGCAGCAAATGAACATTCAGTCCTTGAGGGTGATGTGAAGCAGGAAAAACAGGCAAGTCTACAGTGGTTAGTACCTACCAACAGTGGTCTAAGGAGGGACACACAGTGAACTGGCAAGAGGGTCATGGACACTCAAAGCTCACTGATGATGAGGTTGACACACTCTAGAATAAACCTTTAAATTTCATTCATCCTGTTCAAAGGATTCAATTTTGTTTGAATCTTTGTTAAAATGCATGAAAATGAGAAATACTGTACATTGGTCTCTATGAAGAGAAACATTCAGCAGCTTTAGTGGTGATATTACACCTAGGGTGGGGAGGCTGTTGAATTTGTCTAAACAATTCTCTCTAACTTGTCCTCTTCCACCAGTTTTCACTCCTTTTACATAAGTTTTTCACTGAATCAACACATTCGTGCTCCTCCTGACAGTAGAACTATGGAAACAGACAGATTCACAGAAGATGCACAGTAAGTTGCAAAGTGACATGAGGATCAACAGACTGCTGCACTGACTCCTGTGTACACAGAATTAGGGAGGTGGTTGTAAAGATATGGCTGATCACTATATGGAATTACATAGCATTTTAAATTTCAAATTCCTGACATTCTCTCAGCCAGCTTCATGCATTAGTCAAAAGGAAAGCTTTTTCACAAGTCCTGAAGGAGTTCCCACGTACACTACCACTCAAACTTTTGACTGGTAGCACAGAGTCTCAAATTTGGACTCAACAGACCAAAGCACAAATTTACACAGGTCCATTCCTTGTATTACTTAGCCAAAGTTTCTTCCTATTGATCTCCCTCAGTAGTAGGTTTTTTGCAGCAATTCGACCATGAAGGTCTGATTCATACAGTCTACTCCGAGCACTTGATGTTGAGATGTGCTGGATACTTGAACTCTAGGAAGCACTGGTGTGGGCTCTGTAACTGCCGATTTCTGAAGCTGGCAACTGCAATGAACTCACCCCGTCTGCCATTTAGATGGAACTCTGATATTAGTTTGGATTCCCTGTACCCTAGTTTTCACTTATTTGCATAAATTCAGGAGTCACCTCTTTGTTTAACCTGAGGGTGTGTAATCGCGCTTCTGAAGTCGAGACTTTCAGGAGAGCTATGTGAAGTAACTGAGGCGGAGCCAGGATGGTAAGCACATCAATACAACAGTAGGGCTGTCTGCTTGTTACACTGCAATGTCATATTTTCTATTTTTACATGTATTAAATACAGAATATGTGACATGTGGTGTAGAAAGCTCACAGCTGAGTACTGAGAGTCAAATAATGATTTAACACATTGCTTTAGCTGCTGAGTAATTAGAAATGTAAATTACTAAAACTAAACTTGATACTTGTTAAGACTTCTCAAGGCCATTAAAACAACACTGATAATGACAGTGTTTTTATAAACATCTCTTTAATAACACACAAATCTTATTCGGAGACCCAAAAAGCAAACCAAACATTTCTTTTTTTTAAACTAAAATAAAGAATTTTTACAAGCAATAAACACGTACCGTTAAAATAAAGTCGAATGGCTACATCTCCCCAGCACATCAACCAACACATATAAAATCAAAAAGATGTCACAAAAATAGATAAAGTGCTTCTACGATACATGAAAGGCAAGAAAATAAAGGCAGGTCTAAAACATACATGTAGTTGTAAATAATCAAGCCCTTGTTAAAATGTTATTAAATTAAAAGTTAAAGCCACTGACAAAAGTGATCGGCTGAAGGAAGTTACCGTATAAGTGTCCTTGTTTGGCTGTGGAATCACCATCTGGCCCTCTAACGTCTCTGTCACATATGCATTATCTAGCTGGTGGACAAGCTTGGACACCAGTCAGAGATCAGTCAAAGACATTTATTCTTCTGGCAGCCATTTGGATGACTGGCAACAAGTTTAGCTGGCCAATCTGCGGATGTTACCGAGGAGTCTCCTGCTGTATTCCCTGTGGTCGACTGGCTGGACTTCTATTACTGTTACCTTCACTCGACACTCATCCTGTGGAAGGCAGAAAACAAATCTTTACTTTAACTGAAGCAACATCTGATAAGAGACATTTATATGACTTATATGATCAGTATAATTTAAAACTGGGCAGAAAATTAAAATGAGAAGAAAATAATAAGAATTTATTTACATAACTCAACAGATGCCTTGATAGCTGAATGAATTTAAAGATAACCAAACTCAAATCTGTGTGAAGTCAGTTGTCTCATTGTGAAAGCTGGTTCTGGTCAAATATTGGGCTCTATCTGAAGCCACCGTAACTTGATCCCCTAAGTTGAGCCAAAGTACAAATCGGATACTGTACATTTTTCCCAGAGGTCTGTGGCTTTTACCACCCTAATGTGTACACAAGTGTTCATTTTTCTGGTTTGGATATGTTATTTGATTATATAAAAAGGGGTGTATTTGGCCGATTTGACAGCTTTGATGTGGTGGCCCGATGTGGTCACTCAACGTCTGTCGGCTACTGCACAGAATCTGGTTGCAAAAAAGCAAGATGGCAGCCGCACCATATTTTGGCTTCACCTTCACACAGTGTAGGG